AAAAAAAAAAAAAAAAAAACGACAGAGGAGGAGGAGAAAGAAGAAGGGGAAGGAGAAGAAGGAGGAGGAGGAGCAGAAGTCCCCCAAAACAAACAAACACAGAACCAAACTAGGATGATCATACAAGTCAGGGGTGGAAAACTATGTCCGATATGGTGGAGCTCTGAGAATGAAAAGGAACATCCAGAAATCTGTTCGCTAGGATAAGGTGAGCAGTGTCATACAGGGCAAGGAGGAAAATCCAGCTATCTTCTGTAGCCAAGCAGTAAAAGTCTTTTGTAAGTATACAAACATTGATCCATCTTCTAGGGAGGGGAAAGCACTGGTGGGACATCATTTCATTTGTCCATTAGTTAGCCCCAGATATTTGGCATAAATTAGAAAACCTTCAAATGGAAACCCAAACACCTGTGGCCCAATTGTTGGACATGGCCTTTTCTATGTTCAGGATCTAATTAGGATCCACAGAAGGGACAAAAGAGAAAAGCTACAGTTCTGCTTTGACTCACTTCTCTGGAAAACCTTCCTCTAGATCTATAGCCATAGTTGAGGTCAAGGGGATCACTAGCCAGAGATTCTTTACTCCTGCTCTGATGTGTCACTTTGAAGGCTGAATGTTTAACCCTGAGTTTCTATTTGTCCAACATTGTTCTAACTCCCTTGCTAGGAAGAGATTTACTAGCAAAACTGGGAGCAATTTTCAAATTCTGACAAAGGCTAAAACAGATTTGATCTGTTGGGAATATGTCAGGTCCACCTGACCTAATTAGCTAGCATGTGGCTCTCGCTGCATGGTATAAGTTTTTCCTTTCACACAGCTCAACAGTCACTAACTCTTTCCTCATTTTCTGACAGGTTTTGTTTTCTTCAACCCAGCCAGTGAACCACAACACCCCAAGGTAGTAAGGGCGCACATAATCCCCAGTAGGTAGGGTCTACTGCTGCTTTCCGTAGGAAGTAGCTGTATGAAGACAGAGACCTCCACTCCCTCAGCACCCCATAAAGAATTATGGGGATATGTATTTCTCAGGGGGAAATGAGCAGGAGATTAGAGAGTGGCAAAGCTGGCTGGGGAACTAGGCATCACCTGAAAATTACAAAATCCCAGGACACACGGATAGAAGAGTTCCCAAAGCCCGACATGTGGTCTTCTCACACGAACTGGAGCAGGTGTTTGACAGGACGGCCCAGAGCTGGTATCACAGCCTGAGAAGTTGGTGACACAACAAGAATGATCCATCCACACTGAGCTTTCGCCACTGTATTCTCTCTTCCATGAATGGCCCAGCCTCATGCTGTAGGGTGCACTTCGTTTCCTCCTTTTATTTGACCCAAACTCACTCTGTAGAGCCTGTTTCATTTCCTACCTTTAATAAAACTGTTATTGTTAAAAAAAAAAAAAAAGCAGACACCATAAGGCTGCACAGTCCCTCACATTCCTGTGTTTTAAGTCCATATGTGTAAGTGCAAGCAGTGAGCGTTAAGTCCACACAGTCACTAAACAGTAGGTTGTTAAATGAGGAATATCTGCATTCAAAAGTGGAAACTGATGCTTCTCACCAGACAATTTTCTACCCTTTACAGTATAGGAATTACTCATTAAAATCTAACAAACCCACATGATACAAATTGGATTATCAAAATAACTTGGTCATTTTAAAGGCCATTTTTATATATTTTCAAATGGCAGCAAAAAATGAAAACATATTTCTATTTCTTTAATGGTGCTGTAATTAAAACATAAATATGGTAAAAAAAATAAGATGTTAGCATTCATATTTAACTCTGCAAAACAGATAAAACAATGTGTCATCGAAATTATCAAAATCATATTTTAGCGACCTCTCGGGGAAATTTGCATTGCAGAATGTGCTTCACCTAGTTTTGTTTTAAACAAATTGAAATTTTAATAACTAATTTTCCCAGGACATACAAGATACATGGTGTCTCTCCCCTGATATGGTTATACGTTTTACTTTCTTTCCTCCAATGTTAACTTTATGATAAAAGCAGCTGAATTCAGAAGTCATTATATGGGACAGTTTAGAAAAGAGAAAAAGAACTAGGCTCCCCTACAGTCCTGCTCCCTCCCATCCTCCATCCTGATGGGGAAGTAGAGTTCAACCACTCACTCAAATAAACAAAGGAGAGCTGTACCTGGTGTATCCTTTCTGGGCAGCAACCATCAGAGCAGTGAAGCCAAACTTATTGGGAACATCAACCTTAACATGGCTTGGAGAAAACACAGAGAAAAGAGATTAACTTGCTTATCACAGCTCCATGTAGCTGATGGCTACAAATGGTTACAGCTGGCTAAAATAGCGCATTTTATCATAATCTCAAGATCTTCCAGCCCAGGGATGGTAAACCTTTGAGAGCTTTCAGTGATAAGAGCCTGTTGCAGCTTGGCTTTGGTGGGAATCATTTCTTCAATTTACAAAGCCCAAATTCACAAGCCATTTGGCTTCTGAGGCACTCAAACTACTAATTCAAAAGGAATCTGGACACCACTTTTGCATGTGGAAGGCAGCTTGAAACATCTCATCTGCAGCAACTCCATCACACCTCCTTCCTCTAGTGTCTACCAACCTTCTAAATTAGAAAGCAGCTGGCTTAGTGATGTCGTGGCTTCATCAAGAATTAGATGTGAGCATTTGGGGGTGAAATTTGACAAAATGCTGTCCCATATAAGCAAGGGACAGAAGTTATTTTGGGGAATACGATATGACACAGTTATACACTTATAAATTTCATTAAATAATTACAGATTAACATTTACATGGGGCTCGATGATCATTTTAACTAAGCCTTGCTGACTCATTATCAGTCACCTGACATCAGTTTGGAAGGCATTTTAAAAGGCATCGGAATTTTTAGGAAAACAAAGCTACATCATTTGTTTCTATTCTTTTCAGGGACATTAAAACAAAGAAAGCTGGCAGAGAATGCTCACCCTCCTTCAAGTATTCGAATGAGCAAATCTTCATCATTCACATTGACAGCTCGGTGAAAGTGTTCGCTACTTATGGGTTCTCCTAAAGAAATTAGATGGAAAGCAGTCATCCAACATGTAAGGAAAGAAGATTCATTCCTGCTGTATTCTCCCATGGCTCAGAGTGGATGCTTCTTGTTCACCTCCAAGAAGACATTAGGCTGTTCCTATAAATAGATCTTTTTATCTAAATTTTTAAAATCTGAAATAGATTTTTAATCTAAATTTCCTATTTAATTGCTCCTTTCACTGCAAAAGACCTCATTTTCACCTGTAAAGAGAACATTTAAACTGACCTAACAGCTTGAGGCATTGGCATTGTCAAGTTATAAAGTATTGCTTTGTGACATTTCGCAATACCCCTTTCAGATTTCACAAGGCTTAGAAAATGCCTCAACAGCAAGGAAAAGCTTAGCAATTGTCACAATGTGCTAGTTTTCCTGGCTAAAGAGTGGCTAAACTTCTTGAACAACAAAGGACAAGTTGATTTGACATTTGAAGTGGAACTTGTCCATTCTTCCCAGGAATCTGATGGACGTGCCCCCAAGCTTGTGCAGGCAGATGGGGCTCGTACCCACAGGGAGGTGAGCACATGAGAAAACCCCATTGGGGAGAAAGCCTGCCAAGTAGTGAAGGGCAAGAAGAACAACTCTGAGGAAGATGGGAGACTTAGTTTAGTGGGAAATTAGAGTCTGGGGACTTTTGTACAGGGAATATGGACTTTTCAGGGATGACAAGGAAGAGAGATCCGCAGGAGCAGAGTGTGGGGATAAAGGGCCACACGAAAGCAGCCCATTTTTCAAAACATCTACTTGATGAATTCATTTCCTTCATATTTCATACCCTGGCACTGTAAATACTTTAGATGGACTTATTCCTAAGGTCGGAGTGATGGTAGTAGCAGCTGCCATCATCCTTTGCTGCAGCTCACCCTTCCCTCAGGTCCACCTGGGTTCCCAGCATCAGTGCCCATCCTTGCACCATCTGCCTGCCCCAGAATGGCTTTTGAAGATTACGATCCTCACTCTAAGGCCTCATGCATCCATTCAACACATACTTATGGGGTAATTTACATACCAGGTCATACTCTAGGCACTGAGGTCCTACAGAAAATGGGACAGAGTCCTCTCCATTCTGATTTCCACTGTAGTACCCACCTTCAACCTGTCACTTTTAAATCCTAAAAGAAACTAGCTAATGCCTACCCCATCATCTGCACTGTACCCCAGACTGCCTCCAGGGTTCACCACTTGCTTTACCTCCCTTGTACTATAGAGCAGGCAGAAGTGAGTCAACTGCCCACTTCCTGCTTCTCACAATGCCCAATCTGTCTGGGACATCAGTTTCTGAGCAAAGGAGCTCCTTTCTCCTGGTTTCCTCAGAAGATAGCAGCCATGCAAACTAAAGCGGGCACTGTACAAACTGGGAATACTGTGAGTCCAAAGAATAAAGGGGTCCCTATCACAATGCCTCTGCTGACCCTTTTTCAAATGAGTCAATCTACAACAACTTAAAGCTGTTTTTATAACAACTGTGACCTGCTAGAGTTTGCCAATCTCTAAAGGATGTTTTAGCCACCTCTTACTTCCTTTTCATCATTCCACACATATTTTAGATCAAAAGTTTCATATAAAGGTATCATGATAAACCCTCAAAGGCAAAGACCCTTAGCTGTCTGTGGTCTTCCAAATGAGGTCTAGCCCACCCTGTAGTTTCACTAGGGGACTAGGAAAGGAGAGACACATTTCTACTTCCAAGGGCATGTGATGATGTTAGGTGACATTTCCTTTTCACAGTTGAGGGGCATTTCAAGTAGCATCTAGCAGAGAGGTGCCAGGATGCTGCTTGACACCCTCCAGCACACAGGCCAGCTTGCCAACAACCAAGAACTATCCAGACCCCAAATGCCAAGAGCTCCATGGTTGAGAACCCTCGGCCAGATGAAGATGGGCTTAAAATTGACCAGTGTGTGACCCATCCACACTTTAGGTGGATAAAATAAACCAAGAGACTGTTTCCCTTCCCCTCCTTCTTTCCCAGAGGGTAGAGATTTACATCGCTGTAAATGTCTGTTATCCCACCAACAACCCCGCTTGTGTAACTCTCAAACTCCCACCGCCCCATGAAGCTGGTCACCTGGATAGACTCAGAAGCAAGATGCAAAGTTCATTCTATCTCTTCTTAATTTGATAGTGTAGTAGCATCCTAGCCTAAATCAAATCCTACTAATTACCTTGTACAATGCTTCTTAAATTTTCCTCCAAGCCACACAAACAGACACGGAAAGGTGTCCAAGTTCACCCAGTGAAGAGGTAGACAGCGTCAGGTCCTCCCTAAGGTCACACTACTCCTTCTCTGTAGTGTGTAAGAAGTGCCAAGGTATCTGGCCAATTCTCTGTATACTTCCAGCCTTGTGAACATTTGGATACAAAGGGATATCATCTTAAATAAATGCAATTCCCCTCTCAAAAGTGTGAAAAAGGATGCTTAAGAAGCTTCAAAAAATGCTAAGTTCTTGAGGGGTTCAAGCACCTCACCAGGTCTGCACTGACCATTTGCATTCCACATCACCCATCTCACCCATGCAGCAAAGATGTCCTGATGTGAATGCTTCTGCATATCCACACCAGGAAGCTCTGCAGCACACAAATGTGCAGAAATGAAATAAGCCCACTTTATGCTTGTAAGCTTAAGGACTATTTGCAGCAAGGATCAGGGTACTTTGATATTATGATACAACTAAAAAAGGTGTTGCCTCTTTCATACTCTGCAAAAGGCATTCAGGGCTTCACAATGTTTTGGGGGAACAAACAGATCCTTCACCAAGAGAAGGGAAGGCAATACAATTGTTCATCACTCCTTTCTTGCCGAGTTTCAGCAAAAAGAAGCTGCGTGAACCAGGGTATAAGGGCTCCTTCTCAGCATTCACCGCCTCCCTCAAATACATTGTCCCCAGGAAGGTAAAGAAGATCTACAAATCTCCACTGAATACATGTAAATCAACTGAGGCACAGAAAAGTCTCACAGTTTGAATAAACTTGGCAAAGATACAGGAGAGACAAGGCCCTTGTTTGCAGTGCACAGTGGCAATTCCTTTATTCCCACTAGAGCCAGGAGCCTCAAACAGGAAGACAATTCCCGGATGAGCTGTGTTCTACTCCCCTCACCCAAAAACTCTTCAAGACTTTGTGGGTCTGTCCCAAGAAAAGGCCAACAGTAAGTTCAAAATGTTAGGCCTTTGCTTTCTTGGGTTTGATCTTCTAGTGTCTACTCTGAGGGCTGTAATTATGAAAATCACACCGATGCTGCTCTTGGAGAAGATGTCTGTAAAGGACTGCCCAAGCTGGATGGGATGCATGAGCGAGGAGAGCCAGGAGGGCAGACAGGGTGGTCTTTGGGAAGCCATCGCTCACTCTGTAAGAGGTCATTTAACTGCAGGTGTGCCCACAGATATTACAATATGATGATAACACCTTCCTTGATGGAATTTAGGTCTTTATTAGAAGCAGTGAATAAATCATGAGCTCATTGGAGAAGATATTTGCCAATTAACAAGTAGCAGCTGTTTTTCTTTCTTTTTAAAGGCCCAGCTGATTAAAATTGCATGCCTCATTTAAGCACTTTACCTGGGAAGGAAAAAAAAAAAGTTGTGCATACTCTATTCAAACAAAGTATATGCTTTTGTGATTAAAATGCTCTCAAACTGAATGCAAATTGTCAACCCACAGAAGCATTTTCATATGCTCAGTGTCATGTGCACATTTTCGATTCTTTTGTTAGCATGATCTGTCTCCTTAAAAGAATCTGCATCAGATATTATACATATAACAATAAATGAGAGAGCCAACAGCCAGCCAACAGAGCCATGAGCCTGTTTTGGGCAGAAAGAAGAGATCACTGGATCCCTAACTACCCAGCAGGCTGGGGTGGCTGCCAGGGGCAGACTAACAGTGGAATGGTGGAGAAAACCCAGCACACCTGGCTGGTCACCAACGTATCCAAAACCCAACAGGAGGCTGTGTGTCATTACCCACGGAAGCAGTGGGACCACAAAGACAAATGCCTGCACCAACCTTTATGACTATCTCTCCAAACTCAGCTCAGCAAGGAGAAGGCACACTTGCCTACTAGCATAACGCTTTTCAGCTGACAGAGCTAGGCTGCTCACTGCTTTTCTAAAAGAGCTTCACAGGGAACGCCAATTCCACGTAAACTCTGGTAAACTCTGGCAAGAAGGTCAAGGAGTTACTCCGGCTTTGTTATGCTATGAAGTCACCATATTTGGTTGCAGAAACAGCTTTGTTTGCCTTACCGGGCAGGTTCATGTGGACTCACCCTGGTTGGTGAGAAATGGATCCATCTCAAAATAGACATGAATACAAAGCCAAGAAAACCAGTGCTTCTTTTTCATACTCTTAATCTGTCTCTGCGCCTTGGTTCATCATGCATCCATCCATCAAGGACCTCCCTTATGGTGGGGATGGCTGACCTAGCCCCCTCAACATCCAGGAGGACACATTGTAGGTACAAGTCAAAAAGGCAGACAAACATGTCAAACAAAATGCATGAAGTGTTGTTAGAGGTGGTGAGCCACTGCTCTGGACTGGAGGAAGAGCTGAAGCATGTGCAGGAAGGGGAAAGCTACCCAAGGAATTGCCCCCAAGCTAACTTTGTCCAAGGAACAGATCCAACAGGCAGAGCCGGGGATCAGGTTTTCCAGAGAGGAGAGGCAGAGGCATGAGTGTAGGAGTGCCGTAGAACCTGTGGGCACCTGGGCTGGGGGAGCAGTAGGACTGAAGGAAGTGAGAGGTGTCCTGGGAGGGCATCCTGGCTGGGTGTCCCTTGGAGAGGCTCTGTTCAAATGCAAGGTGATTGCCCAGTCTTCTCCCCAACCCTTGTCTTCCTTTAGCAAAGAGCTCACTGACTCTCTCCACCAGTCTGCCTTCTTCAATTCCTCCTAAGGATGCCAGAGGCCAAACATCTTCCCTATAAAAGCAAATGCTTTAGAATTGCCATATTCACAAACTGGCCCTCCTTCCTGACCTGAGTCTCCATAATCGACCATTTCACTTCAAGTGTCCTCCTTGAAATTACATTTTTTTTTTTTCACAGCTAGCTGAGCATCATTTGGGAATGTATACAGGATCCCTGCTCTGAGCTTTAACTAAACTCTCACTTTGCTAAAGTGAGATCCAATCCTCTTCATGCCATGTTTGGAATTGAAAGTACCACAGACTAACCCAAAATCTAAATTATCTTTAGTCCGCACAAAAATTTTCATGAGTAAATGCCGAAGCACACATTGAAGCCCACAGAAAATGTACACAAGTCAAATGCCAACTTGAATGAAATTGAAATATCACTAACAAAAGGAAGATTTCCTTAATGCAACACAAAAAAAGTCTCACTTGTGTTGCCAGTGAGTGGGCCACAAAGGATGTGTCTGACCATTTTAATCTGTACAGTATTCTGGCTCAAAGACGACACTGGACATATCCATTTTAAAATGTCTTAAAATATCAGTCTCATAATCTCAGTTACTCAGGAGGCTGAGAGGCAGGAGGATCGTGAGTCTGAAGCCAGCCCATGCAGCTTATCAAGACCCTATCTCACAATAACATAAAAGGGTTGGCATGCAGCTCAGTGGTACTGGTTGCCTAGCATGTTCAAGGCTCTGGGTTCCTTCCCCACTACTCAGCTGGGGATTTAGCTCAGTGGTTCCATCACTTGCCTCACAAGTGCAAGGACCTGAGTTTGATCCCTGGGGGTGGGGGGAACAAACTATACCCATTACTAAAAAAAAAAAAATCTCAGTAGATATGGTAAAACTGGGGCAAGAAAGAAGTGGTCTGAGGCATCGTAGCTGGTTTCTCTGGCCACTCCCTCTGCACGCCCTCCCTCCAAGGGTACCCAGTGGCTGGGAGCAGCACAACCACACTTCCTCACTCACGGTACCCAGAAATCTGAGGTTCCAGAGTGGACAGACTGTGAGCACACCTCCTCACCAGAGACCTTCAAACAGGCAGCTTGCTCAGCCCACCCCCTGCAGCCCATCTCCTGAGGAAGATGGCTCCACCCTTGCGCAGAGGTGCACAAACAGTACAGTTCTGTCACAAACATAAGCTCTCTCAATTTGTGAAAATATACTTGGATTTCTTTTGTGTTATATGTTATGACCAGGCCCGGGCAATAAATAATATCATCACAGTGCTTAAAAATGGAATTCTCTCTGCAGCCAGTAAGGCAGAAAAAATTGCAGAATATTTTAATTTCTAAATTGTTGGTATATGTCTTCGTATATGTCTTGATAAATGTGCACAGAACACTTGTGTACTCACTGGTTGTAGATACCGAGATGACGGGGCTGTACTCATATTCTCCAGAGGGGCTGGTGACCTTCAGTCGAAATCTATACAGTGTTCTTGGTTCCAGACCTTCGACAGTATGCTTTGTTGCATATCCCCTGGACAGGAAGAGACACACATGCTGATAACACCAGATGATGCCATCAACCTTCTGATAGTTTATGACAGCAGCAAGTGTAAGTGACTTTTGGGCACAATCTTTCTAGCACAGATCTGATCTGTTTTTTTAACTCCTTTGTAACAAGCACAGGTCACATGTGGCACCTCTACCTTACCCAGCATGTGCTTTCTCTGTCCCACATGGCTGAGCCTGTGCCTTGCACATAGCTGGCATGTCATTTTATTCTTTGGACAAATAACCATGATACCCCATGCCACTTATCCTCAAATGTCCAGGTCTCACCTTTGAAAGATAAGACAGGCAGTCATATTGTTTTTGAGTTTCAAGTGGAATCTTCAAGTGGGTGAAGTTATCTGCGAGGTGGCTGTGGGCTATTTGAGGCAAAAGACTACTGCAGGGAAAGGATCTCAAGAAGACTTATGCAGGATTGCATGCAGTGGGTTGCAGCTGCACAATCAGGGAGCACATAAGAAAGAGTTCTAACATCATGCAGCCTCGTTAAGTTCATCTAGCAATGCTGATGGGCAATAAATGCTGAATGGTTCTAGAACAGAAATCTGATTAGAGGCTCACAGTGGAAATCCACACACCTCCAGAGGATAAAACACTGCACCTAATAATTTGGACCATGCAAAATGAGCACAAGAAATGCAGCCAAGTGGCTGGCCTATCTGCTCAGAGGACACTGGATCCACCAGACTTGGTGGGATTGCACTTCTCCCTTGGGAGGTGAGTCCCAGGTCCCTGGCTTCACCTTGGCATACATTCTAGGCAATTAGACCTCCAAGGGTGGTAAAGAGTGGTATGCATTGCCTAATATTGTCCACAACCTCAGTTTCCCTTTGATACCCAACATCTTTATTGGTATCTGACTAAATTCCAGATACCCCTTTTCGAAATCTGTATCTCAGTTTTTCCTTTAAATATTGCAAAGGCTTCTCCGGTGTGAAAAACTATAATGGTACATAAGATCCTAATGGTATAATTGACAATGTGAAATAGGAAGAAAAGGGCTAAAGATGTAGGGGAAGTGGGAAGGGTAGGTGAGAGGAAATAAGGGAAAATAAAACATGAAATAGTGGAAATAAAGTATTTGAAAATAGGGAAGGGAGGAGGGGGTGAAGGGAGGGCAGGGACAAGGGGAAAAATGAGAAACAAGACCTGTCATGTAAAGGAACGAGATCCCAATGATGAATGTAACTGCACTGCATACCTAAAATGTACTAATAAACTTAATGAGGAAAAATAAATATATATTGTAAAGGCTTGAGTTGTGAGTGGGGAGAGGAGGGGAAAGTGGCAGAGATTCTACTTCCAGGTCTTTCTTCTTTCCTGTTTCAATCTAGTCCTTGTTTTCCTCCCTCAAAACTCCCCATGGTCCCCTGTACTCCAGGCTTACTATTGTTTTTTCCTTTTTTTTTTTTTTTCCTGTTTCCATTTTTCCCTTCCACAGAGGCTAAAACCATACTTTCAGACTTACAATCAGTATTTTCAAGAACATTTACATGCAACACCAGTTCTCCTCCATGCAACTCAACAAACATATGTAGTGCCTATTCTTTCAAGCCAGCCTGAGGAGGCAGCCCTGGGCCAGCTCAGGACTGAGATGAAGCAGAGAATAGTAGGTTAAACTTGTTTCCTTCTAAGAAGGGCCACAAGTGTGGTAGCCAGGATAGTGAGGAAGGGACAGCTGAGTTAGGCTGAGATGGAGCAGGCATCATGAATGAGGAAAGAAAGCCCACCTGGACACGTGGCTTCAGGTCTAGGGAGATGATCCTGCTAGCACCTCACTGATTACTCAAACAGCTTTACTCACTCACCCCAAGAGTCCGCTGGAAGAATATGGCTAGAGATTAGACACCACCACCCACTCTAGCAGGAACAGCACCCCAAAGGAAGAATCCAGAAGGCCCTGCAAGTCCCTCTGCCAAACTTGCTTCTTGTACTGCAAGAAGTGGGTGGGGGAGGGGGGATGCCAAGAGAATGTCCTCTAGCAAAATCTCTCTGATGTCAAGGGAGACATGGGTGAGGGACTCTCATGAAAGACAGCCAAGTGTCTCCAGACAGTCTGAAAAAGGAACATTGGATTGGAAGAACATTTATCACCCAGGAAGGATGGGCTCAGTACCCTCACCAGGGCAAGCATGTAGGATGCAGAAGAATTTGGCCCATTCTGGAGAGAAGCCTCACTGAAATCCAAATACTTGAACCATTTTTTTTCAGCTTTAATTGAGTTTATTGGTACATTTTAAGGATACAGTACAGTTACATTCCAACAATGAATGTTACTTGAACCATTTTTAAAAATTGCAAATGCTTACCAAAGCTCTCTCCTATGTGTCTCTCTCCTTTACTGGTTATCTGAAATGTGAAAGTTCCAAGTGAAATAAAGCCCTAAACATGGGAAGCTCCCTTTTTTATCCCAAGACCGCTGGGCACAAAAATCTCAATGTTTCTTGGGCACAGCTCTGACAGAGCCAAGGAAAAAGACTTGGCATCCTAGGCACTTCTGGCCATGTGGCTACACTTTGCTCCTCCTTGCTGGTGGATTCAGCCATTGATTGGATAGCATCTTTGCCAGAGCACATCTCTCTCCCCACCGGCAGGGAGTCATATTGCTGGCACATGTCAGTCATGAACTTGCAGGAGCCCATGCCTCTCCCCACAGAACCAGAGTTCCTCTCCCCTGGAACAAGACAAAGGGGGAAAGAAGTGAAGCTGTGTGGCACTGGACCTGGGCTTTAAGAAGCCTGAAGCTCTTGATTTCAGGCCCTTGGAACTCGCTTATGGGTGAAAGTCAGCTTCCCTGCTAGAGAGAGACCACCTGTAAGACAGAGTCACTGGAAGGTGGCAGGCAGTAACAGATAAAGAAGCCCAGTCAGCTCCTACCATCCCAGCCCCCCTACTGAGGCAGGACACATGAAGCCATTTGGTTCCTCCCAGCCCTACAGAGCTGCACCAGCCACAACCACATGGAGCAGAGATGAGCCTCCCCCGTGCTGCACAAGTCACAGACCATGAGCAAACATGTGCTTGTTTTTGCTTAAAGCCACTAAGCTTGGGGTGGCTGGGTTCGCAGCAATAGAAAACAATGTGTGTCAACAAAAAAGAAATGATGAGACCATGAAGAAGGGATGCCAATGGCATTAGGGAAGAAATACACTATGTGAGAAGATATAACTATACTTATCATAAAAGCTACAACCAAGATAAATATTCAGAAAAATTACATGGGCTAAAAATAAAAACTTTTATAAACTACTTCAGCCTTACACAGCCTGTATTCTTATGAGTAGGTGATTTCATCAAGTGTAGGTTCGTGCTGTGGTTTGGATGGGGTATGTCCTGTGTGTGTGTGTGTGTGTGTGTGTGTGTGTGTGTGTGTGAGTGTGTGTACACGGAAGCAAACATGCACACTCTCCCTTAACTACCTTCCTTCTCTCAGGCCTAATATGAGGTCCACAAGCAAATGTTTTATTTTTTATTTATTATTTTTTTGAAACAGGGTCTCACTATACTCCTGTCTCCATTGCCCAAGTAGACGGAATTCCAGTTATAAAGCCCAGATGCACTGGCAAACTTTTTAAAATCCCTAAATCATCTCTTGAATCCAACCAGTTCTCATACTGTTCTGTTATTTCCCACCTCAATTAATGCAAAAGCTTCCTAATTAGTCCTCTCTGCTGCTTGCTGTCTCACCTCCCCATGGCCTGAGCTCAACTCACAGCCAGAGGGATCTTCATAAAACATAAAGCAGATCATGACTCTCCTTCGCATAGCGATCTCCTTCGGCTTTCCCCATCTACTCCAGGTTACAGTAAAAGCCAGGCATCTATCGGTCATCCAAAGACCTGAGCAGTTGCTTCTCATGCCCCCTCACTACTTCACCCGGTTCCTCTCCTCCATATTCCTGGAGCCCACCGATCACTCCCACCTCAAGGCTTCCTTCCCACTTGCTGCTTGCTGTACCTCAACGCTGCCCCCCGCCCCCCGACATCTCCACCACTTACATCAGGAAGTGTCAAACAAGTTTTCTTCTGAGGAAGGACTTTCTTACAGCAGAACATCTTACCACAGAACTCCAACTCTTCCTATGTTTTTTGTTTTTAGTACTTATCACCCCCTGATATAGGTGTTCATGTGTGTATACATATACGTGTGCATGTATGAATATGTATTTTTTCTTTGTATCTTATTTATCGTTTGCCTCCTTCACCATGAGGAATCTGTCTATCCCCAGTGCCCCGCTGCCAGCATCCAGAAAAGCATCTGGTGTATCACGGGTGCTTAGTAATTCACATTAATAGAATGGGTAGAAGGCATAATATGGGCACCAACTGTCATGGGGATTTAAGGGCCAGGCAACGGACAGTAAGGAAAGCTTCTCAGTAAACATTGAACCTGATGTGAACAGGAAAAATTATAAGGTGATAGGGACAACTTGTGCAAACAGAACAGCTAAACACACATGCAGAAAACGTCAAGGTACAGTTGAAACATAGGAAAGGGATCTGGCTGCAGTGTTCGTACTCAGAAATAAGAGGCAACAGAGAAGCAGGTTGTGGACAAACTGCAAGCAACAAATGTTAATCTAAGGAGTCTGACCTTCCTCCTCCAAGCAAAGGAGAGCCATTGTGGGTCATTTGACAAAATGAAGATTAAAAAGAAAATTAATCTACAAGACAGAAGAAAAGGCTGGAAGGCAAGAAAAGAGGAGTAAGGCCAACTCATCCCACCCACAAATGTCCTAGGAAGAGTCCTAGGGCCTGGGGACACATTGCTAAAGGGTGACAAAATGAAGCTTGCATCCTGGTAGAGTAAAACACCCCAGCCTCCTGGGGAGGGGGTGGAGGGAGGACTTCACAAAGGAGAACTCACAACACTAGGTAACTAAAAGACTGGCTCTGCACAACCATTGGGGGAGCCAGTGTAAGTGATAATATCATGGACTCAAAACTGATGAACGGGAACAGAAACTGACAAGTCAGAAAGAAGTTCCTACACCCACAAGCCCAATGTCAGATGGTAATCACTTTTCACAAGGAAGACATCTGCTAGTTAGTGATATCTAGAAAAAAAATGGTACAACTAAACCAAAGAGGTGAAGAGTAAGACAGTCTCATTCCGCCACCTAGCGTTAAAGTTTGTGCTGCACGACCCTCCAAAGGAACACAGGCTGTTCACCTCTGACCTTGACTTGGGCATTTCTGCCAGGTCCGTTCCACCAGGCCATCATCTGAGAACCTCCTCTGGTCACACAGCAGCCAGGACTCTGGGGAGAATGTAAATGGCTGGAGGCTGGCACACATGGCTGCTGCTTCTCTAGAGAAGGTGGCTTCCTGGCCACTTAGCAAAAGCCAAAAGCCAAGAGGAAGTACAGGAACACCCTTCAGAGCGTGTGCGAGCACACACCATGACCAAGCATGGCTCGTAGTCGGAGGGAAGGGGGGGGGAGAAATGACATCTTTTTCTTTCTCCATAGAAATACTTAAAATATCATAATTCATGCTTTGAGAGGGGAAACTACTTTTACAGAGGAATACATGACATAATTAAAATAACATTTTCAAATGGTCAAGCCAGGAATTCTTCTCATATGGTAACTGCATTTCACATGTTTTCTCTTCTTCCTTCTTTTTTAAGTACAAAGAAACGTTTCTTAAATGCTGGGCACATTACCACGCAGGGCACAGGTAGAGTGAGTGGGCTGTGTGTGTGTGTGTGTGTGTGTGTGTGTGTGTGTGTGTCTGTGTGTACACAGATGAATGGGTGGGTGTGTGTCTGTGTGTACACAGATGAAGAAAGCTGATGAGAGTTAAGAGTGAATGAGTAACCGTAACCTGAGATCGGAGAAGTTGGCCAGGGAGGACCATACCGGGTCTGCCCCACATCAGTACTTCATCAAAGTGCTACCTGGAGAAAAGGAAGGACAAGTGACAGGATGTGCTGAATCTCTCCTGCACCTGTGTCACCGTGCTGGCTGTAACATCGTGTTGCCGTTTTCTGAGACATCAGGGAAACAGGCAAGAAGTACACAGTGTGTCTCTGTAGTATTTCTTCCAATAGGATGTGAAACTCTAAGCTCCTCAAAATAAAGAGTTTAAGGAAAAAACACATTTGTATCTCATTGCTGGTATTCCAAAATCAGCCCTTTGGCAAGTGGTAGGGCTCTCAAAGAAAAGTCAGCTGATAAGAAGACTAAGAAAAAAGTGACCTCTTTCTTGATATCTCCTACTGCAATTATTCAGTCATACAACAAACCCTTTGTGGGCCCAGCACCTGCCTGGTGATGCTACCAAGGAGCTGGGGACAGAGCACTATGCAGCAGCAGTCTCATCTGGCTCTCGTTGAATTTAAATGCTGCCACAGAACACGGGCAAGCAAACAAGTTCGATGACTCCAACAGAGGTCAATGCTATGAGGAACATGGAACGAGAGCCTGAAATGAGGAATGCGGGTGGATGCATTCAAGAAAAAGCAGCCATGAAGGCCCTGACATGAGAACCAGCCTGGCCTGCTTCAGGCTGAAGGATGGTGGCCAGTTTGTTGGAGAGAACTGACAGGGAGCCCGTGGTATGACATGAGATCGGAGAAGTTGTGTGGGTTGTACAACACAGGGTCCCCTCCCACCTCTATGAACAAAACAGCCTGGTGGGAATCCCTTTGAACTACATCAAGGTAGCTTTTGTTTCTGTCTCTACATTTTGAATTATAAAAATATACCATTAAAATATTTCAGAAACCAAAGAAGCTTTCAATGTATAGGAGGTTTAATTTCAAAATTACTGCTAATGCTTGTTTTCGGATAATAAAAGAGCATAAAATGCATAGGATGCTTGCTAGCTTTTTTTTTTTTTTTAAGACTATTTTTCAGAGGTTGGTCTCAAGCTCCTGGGCTAAAAGCACCATCTTATCCCTTCCTCCCAAGTAGCTGGGACTACAGGCATGTACCTGCAAGTCTTTAAAAGAAACAAGCAAAAAAGGCAGTGGCTTTTTAAGAAACAATAAAAATCATTCTACATAATCAGGAAATCAAAGCTAAAATGGTAAGCAATTCAAATTTGCACCTACGTATAAATGATACCATAAGTGTGCATTTTGGGGTCTTCTTCTTCGATCGAGAACCTAAGCCAGCGTTCCTGAGGTCCTCGCCGCTCTGCTCTCCTTTCCAGATCCCAGTATAATTCAATGCTGTGATGCGTCACTTTGCCCACAACAGGTGGATGAGGCTTTGAGGACGGCGTGATTTCTTAAAAAAAGAAAAAAAATCACAGTTGCAGGGCCCCCACTTCCATAAGGAAGAGAGAAGCAGGCTGAGCAGAGTAAGACTCGAGCTGCTGCTCAGTGTTTCAATTGATCCCCACATTGCACACAGATGAGTACTGAACACCCGAAAAGCTGAAGGGACACAAGCTAGCTGGTGCAGTGAGCACCTGGCTGCCTTCCACAGGCAGACTGCACCATCCCTACACCTTTGTACGTCACTCACAGACGCTTCAAAAGCCTGGGTAATGAATCAAACCAAGCAGGTTGCTCTTTCAGCTGGTGAAGCTCACTCAGTTTGCTGCTACTGGGCTTTGGTGGGCTGGCTGGTAGATAAAGCCAACAGACAGAAGCTGCATCTTGTCCGAATATTTATGAAACAGATGACAGGTACTGACATCTATTCTATACCAGCAGCTCTTACAAAGTAACCAAGACAAGAAAATCAAAGGTTAATCACAAGCCAAGTATAATAGCAGGACAAAAAAGAACAGAAACAGAAAGTAGGGAATGAAATTAACATGAGAAAATGAAGAAATGGAAACAAAGTCTCTGTAAACAGAGAGGGATGGAGGTTGAACGGAGGGCAGGGGAATGGGAAACAAATAAGAATTAAGATATATTATGTAAAGGTACAAATTTCCAACGATGAATGTCTTTATATCGGATACCTAAAATATACCAATAAAAGTATTTTTAAGTGAAAAAGAGAAGAAACAAATAGCCAACATACTATTGTGGACCCTTGACTTACAAACTCTTCATTCTCAAGGTCTGGTTGTTACCCATGTCGGTCAGCTGAAGGCTCAGGCTCCTCCACCCAGCCTTCAAAGTCTCTTTCCTGTATACAGGCAGATCTCAGTGTTCTTGTCTCGCACCCAAGTACTAACCAGGTTCGACCCTACTTAGCTTCCAAGATCAGATGAGATCGGGTACATTCAGGGAGGTATAGGCATAGACGGACCTCAGTGTCCTTAGAGAGACACTGGCCCAGGAGTTCTCAATTAACCTCACACAGGAAAGGTTGTTGTCATGTTCCTTCCAGAACTTTTCAAAGGTTAAATCTGTATCTGAGACTATCTGGAAGCAAAAACGGCCAGCATTAGGGTCTTAACTCGAGACTTTGCTCATAAATTAAAACTAAAATTCCATTTCATAACCCATGTTATTCATATATCAGGTCAGTCATAACTTGAGAGTCCACTAGGTATGAAAAATATTCGTATTCCAGTGTTGACAGAAATTGGTAGTAACAGGCTATAAGTTTACACCCAGTCCATCTCTTTGAAAATCATTACTAGTAGAAGTGACAACATAGGCAGAAGACATTCTCATGCACTGACTGTGGAGAAATACAAATCATAGCCTTTTTAGCAAACTGGGTGTGGTAATGCACAACTATAATCCCAACACTCTGGGAGGCCGAGGCAGGAAGACTCCAAATTGGAGCACAGCATGGCTAAGTCAGTAACGAAGTGAAACCCTGTAAAAAATAAAAAGGGCTGGAGGTGCAGCTCAGCGTGAAGGCCCTAGGTTTAATCTCCAGAAGAAGGAGGGAGGGAGGGAAGGAGGAGAGGCAGGCAGGTAGGTAGGCATGCAAAGAAAAAAGAAAGCAATATAGGAGTACTGTTAAAAGTACAAATACACATACCCTTCTATCCAGCTGATCCAGCCCCAGCAATCTCTCCCCCAGAAATTAGAGAACCAGAGCACACAGGGACACATGCACAGGATGTTTTAACTACTACAGTCTTTAGCAGATTGCAGGAAAAAAAATGATTAACCCATAACCCATTAATAAAGGAAACTATAAATGAATTATGAAGTCCATAACATATAATGCTTTACACAGTTTTACAGCTACTAAAAGTAAATTGGTCCTGCGGTAAATACTTTGAGAGGATTTCTGTAAGGTACTGCTAGATGAGAATTCAAGGTATGGAGAAAAACATACACTGTCCTATTTTTGTAAAAGACAAAAAGTACAATTTACACCGAGTTGCTTAGCATGCGATTGCTGTTTTGCAGTAGTTTTGTCTCCCCTGCTACATTTTGGGCTTCTTGAGGGCTGAGTCCTCAAGTGTCTTTCACTCCTTCTAAAACCTGTCCCTGTATCTCCACTGTTTTTTGAACCTCAAATATATCATTGATTTACCACATTGATCATTTTTAAAGAAAGAATTTTGTATTTCCCTTGAGCCGATCTTGCACGCAGCTGGCGAGCTGCTCACTGAAGACCCCAGTGCCCCCCTGCACTGTGGTGCTCCCACAGAGGAAGACAGGGCTGCCCCAGCCTCCCCTGCCCCAGGCCAGCAGGGCACACAACCAACAATTTCCTTTACACTGTGATCACAGAGATGTTTCTGGGGGCAGCCTGCGAGCCCATGTTTCCTAAATGTATTTTCCAAATATTTATAGAAAGCACGATGGAATTGGATAAACACGAGTTTGAATCTGTGCAGTAAAACAGAGTCAAAAATACTTTCCTGAAAGTGTTTTAGGATAATCAAATAACGTGTATAAAGCATCTAAATAAATGATGGTCCATTTCATGCAAAGGAATCCTATCCTGGAGCTACGAGAAAGTAATTGTATGTGCATCGACTTAGATAAATCTCAAAATGTTTGCAGAAAAAGCAAGTTCCAAAAGGAAACCCCTAATGGGATTTGGCTCAGTGGTTCTGCCACCTGCCTTACAAGCACAAGGTCCCGAGTTTGATTCCGGGTAACAAAATTAAAAATATCATGAGACTGCAGGGAAGAATCACCCTCACAGAGACATAAGGGAAGAGCAGAGACAGGATGGGGTGGGAAAGTTGTCTCGCCACTCTACTCATAAGGTTTCATGTTCTTAAAAAAAAAAAACTTAAGACATACAAATGTTCACATTAGAAACCTGTATGATGTGACTTTGGGATGGATTCCTGTTTATAATAATTTTGGTAGGGTTGAAATATTTTCAAAAAACAATGATGAAAATAAATGATCTACTTTACTCCTATAGCACATTTTCTTAGAGAAACTGATGCCAATTTGCCAATGCAAATAAGCCAGACAGGGACCCTTCGGTGAGCCGTTTCATTTGATCCCAGGGCTCCTGCAGGGACTCACATGGGGAGTCACTCACTTTGTTTTCAGAGATCTCTGAAACCAGACAGTGAGATTCATAACCTCCTTAGTTGTTTTCTCATCACTGGGACATCATACCTAACAGAGCTTGAAGGAGGAGAGGTTCATTTGGTCTCACGGTTTTAGAAGTTTCACCCTGTAGTTAGCAGGTTCAGACACAAATGGCATAGTGAGGGGTCTGAGTGGAAGAAAGCTGCTCATGTCATGGTGGCCAGGAAGCAGAGGACCAAAGGAGGAGCTGGGGAGGGAGACAGACCCTTCCAGGTCATGTTCCCAGTGCCCCACCTCCAGTCAGCTCTAGCGACTCCAAATCCAATCACCTTCTAACAGCCCCGCCTCCAAACATGTAAGGCTTTGGGGCAGCGCTGTAGATCTAAGCCATAATGGTAACTGTTACAAATTACTTCCAACATAACTAGAAGCCCACTAATAGAGTATTTCAATTCCAAATATACCTGGTCTGGAATCCCATTAGAAACCACGATGGGCAAGACATTCTAAATTAATAGCAAATCTCAAAGGGACAAACCAAACGGCTCCTCATACATTTATAGACGGAGTAAACAGATGACATTCCAGGTACATAAGGAGCATCTCACTTTTTGCTCTTATCAGTGATACATGGAGATAACAAAGAGAGCTTGCTCAACAAGCTCGACCCCAGCCACACCAGGTCCACCACCACCAGACCAGGCCATAGGCATGCTTGCAACTGCCACTCACAATGGCGTCAGAATGCTTGCTGCTTGCTGGTCACCACCCCTTCAGGTCTAGCGCAGAATCTGGATGAGACCTGGAAAGTTGATTTTTTGGCACTTAACCTTTTTGGTATTTTTTTTTTAAGTAGTTCGAACACAGTGGTACTGTGGCCTCTCTGAGAGCACCCAGTGTGAGTGGGAGGCTCACAGGAGGCACACAGGAGTTAACAGGGGTCATGGGCCTTTGCAATGCTTTGCTCTCCCAGCAACACCAATGCCCAGGACACTGAGCATCAGTGACATCCTCCATCACCTTGTACTTCAGTACAGAAAGCTGTTAATGCCAGACCAGACCAGGATAGTCAGGTAAGAGCTAGTTATTTTTAGGTTGCCAAGAAATAATCGACAGACATAAATTCTTTTTTTTTTTTTTGCTTTTGCTTTCTTTTACCATCAACCTATAGCAATTTAACAAGTGTGTTTTAATGCATACATTATACCCACATAATTTGTGTTTTTGATAAAAAACAGTTCTGGAAGTTTTGTCATGACCTGCTAATATACGTATTATTTGGGGTGTTTGCTTCGGGGTCCTAAAACCCGAGACACACTAATAGGTCACTGGCCAAAGTGCGAACACCACTACACTCATGAAGCAGACAGGTAAGCTTTGTGAGAGCTGGAGAAATGCCAAGTCACATGCCCAGCCACTGGGAAAAAGGAGGCAGTGGCGGCAGCAGCAGCTGCAGCAGCAGCATTTATGTGACTGTCTGTGCCAGTGGACACTTCACATTTATTCATTCAACCTTTGTCAGATTTATATTTACCGGCTCTATACAGTGTACAGATCATTTTTATTATGTCCATCATAAGTAATCTGAGGCAGAGAGAGATTAAGTAACTTGTCCAAGATCACCCAGAAGCAACTGGAAGAACCAGTTTTAATGCAGATGGTGCAGCTCAGGAAGGAGTCCCTTGTGATTCTGTTCCCTACTGTCTCATAAGAGTACAGACAGAAAATGCAGATGCAGAATGAAAAGTCTACTGTTTCATGGCCCATTCTCCAGATCTCCTCAAACCATTTTAAATCAGATTTAACCCTGATAAAATTTTTAAATGATAAAAAAAAAAAAAAATCTTGGCCCAAAAAGGAGAGCAA